TGTTGGGCTGTCCTGTACTCTATGTCTACCAAATCAACATGGAACACTGTGAACTTTTTTAATCATAGAATTGTTGAATGGTTTGGATTGGAAGGGACCTTAAGGATCATCTAATTCCAATCTCCCTATGGATAGGGATACCTTCCACCAGACCATGTTTCTCAAACCTCCACCCTGCCTGGCCTTGAACATATCAACACAATTTGCAATATTAATCTAAAGTTTATGTCTCAGAAATCATTATTGCACTAGATGGAAATGCAACTGTCAAAATAACAAAACCTGTGTAACTAATACATATACTCTGACCTTGGTTTCCAAGAGAGAGCTTTAAAAGCCTTTGCCATGTAAGAATATGTAAAAAAATGTCACCTATTAGGAATATAAATATTATTCATTCTTCCACTCTGTGCTAGAAAATCTGACACTAAGAGGTGAAATGCTGTTATTGCTTGAAAACAATTACCCTGCACTCGTCTTAAATAAGAACATTTCTGCAGATTTTGTTCCTTTGTCCATTGAGGTTTTCCTTCTCTGTCAGTTATCAGTTGCTGATTTTTCCCCTTTTATTCATCTGTGGATTTCACCTCAGCGATATTGCAACTTTTTCTGATCTTCATCCTCAGTTGGGCAGAGGGCTTTTTTTTTATTTGTTTGTGTGTTTTTCCATTTTGGCTATTTTATATTCTATGTTTCTAAGATTATTTTTAAGAAAGACTTGTGTTTAAAACCAAGGTCTACACAAAGTGTACTAAGTACATTTTTATACACTATTTTATGCCCTCTCTTGGCAGTAAAAGTCAATTCTGAATTGCTTTAGCAAGAACTATAAAAATGTAAATTGCTAAGATCTGATTTGGTCTTATTGCCTGAGCTGAGTTCTAACAGTTAAATCTAGAATATATAGCTGCTGCAGCTTATTAATACAGGATAATTTACATATTCAGAAGGATCCTATTGTGGTCTCTTCTTCTCAGTTAATATAAGATGAATGAGAAAGAGCTCCAGAGGACATCTAAATAAGATTCTGAATTTGAAAATTTTGCCTTCACTTAAAATTTAGAATTCCTTTAGAATGGTATCAGCTTATAGTGTCTCATTCCTCCTTTTTTATTTTTTGAATGGGGTTTCAAATAATGAAATATATTGTTTTATTTCATATGGGTTACAGTCTTTGAAAAAATATATAAAGAAACTTAAAGCTATTTTTTTGTCTTTGATTCTTAATGATAAATAAAATGTAATAACATTTTCCAATCATATCTCTCTGATGTCACAAGGGAAAGGTATTTGTATACCAAAAGTAATACTCTGTATTTTTGTAGGAATTTTGTAAAATTATTCCAGTTTATGCTTCAATATAGCAAAGTAAAGAAAACCATGGATTTCTCCCTCTATTAACTGTTTGATATTAGATCCTGATCCAGCCAGCCACAGGTGTACTCTACACACAAATAACCTTCAGCAAAAGGAATTTGCAAGAACACATAAAGAAGATAAGAATGTTTATATATTTCATATATTGTATGTAGTAGTTGTGCAAGTAGTGATATTTACTTCATAAGTGGTCTTTTTTTAATTTAAACAGGCTACTTAAACCCTTTTTAGTTGAAGCAGCTTGTCTTGTCAGTAATAATCTGATTGATTCCAACATAAGAAGATAGACTCTGATAAAAGCTCAAGATGTTAGACAAATTTCATGGTCCAATAAACATAAATTTGACAGATGGAACTTGCTGGCATGGGATCTTTTCAATCGTATGATTCAAAACAGACCAGACATTTGTGTAGATGTTATCTTCAGACCAGCTATCTAGAATGGAATTGACAAACACAGTGAAATCCCATAAATTGCTTAGCAGCTGCAGTCAATTATATGGTTTTGGTATTCTTGGGTATTTGTGGGTAATACAGCCAGCAGGAAGAACTGCGTGGAGCTGGCCTGGTACTGATCTGGTACTACCCAGCTCACAGGTCACACCAAATGATTCCAGCATCAGGCAGAGCTGCCCCACATCTTCCAGAGATATCACTTCTAAAGACTTTGGTGACAAAGAACACATCAGACCTCTAGACATACTCAAGAGGAGAGAAACAGATTGGTAGCAGGCAGGATGTACTTCCATTTAAACTCTTAGGTGATTTTTCCACTCTTTTCTTAAAATAAACCTAACTATCACCATAATAATTATTCAGTGATCTTCAGATGAAGTGAATGACTGCAGATCTGACAGGTATGATAAAGTTGCAGTTTACAATCTAAATTCTGTGATTAATGTTGTGGTTATTGAAATTTTTTGTAAGGAGAGAATATGTGGTGGGACTTCATCCTGAAGAAACGTGCTGCCAGTGCACAAAGATGCGCAAAATTTAAGCTAAGCCATCAGTACATATGGGAATTCCAAACACACAAAGCTCTCAAAATCTTGCAAATGCATGTTTAGATATAGACATGGACACAGGGTTTGACTTGAGACCTTGGAGAAAGCTTCCAGACTTAGAATCATAAGTAAGAATGTGAGTTTAAATAGAGAGACATTAAGTTGTAAGAAGTTTTAAGGTTTTAAAGTTAAGATATAGAAGTAATTATGAAGGTAATAAGAAGTTTAAGGTATAGCAAGTAGTTCTGTGTGTCACTATATGACTGGTTAAAGAAGTCCGCACTGCAATGGAGATGTATAAAACAAAATAATTTGTTATTGGTGTGAAAGTAGAAACATTCTTTTGTGGCATTAGTTTATTGGCTAAATAACCTTTAAAAGACCTTGTGACCTGTAATCTTGTGACCACTGATCAAGAATATCTGGTGAATAAGATGAAGATGTACTTTCTCCTTCCTGAGACTGTAGAAGAAAAATAATAAATCACTCTTTGAAACATCTTTAAGCAGTCCCATCTCTCTCAAAAAATCCTGGTAGGTACATATGTCATTAAACAAAGGAGAGAGATGTGAAGTCCAGTAAGGCCATGGACATTTAGATTTGCCAGGATATACAAAAATACTTGCAAAACACTGTAGAATGAGTAGTTCTAATATTATTGACATAATTTATCATTCTCATAATACTAATATTGAAGAGAATTCTGGCTAATATATCCTGAATTTTTTCTAGAAAGCAAATATAATCTCTTCCGGATTGGCACTGAGACTGGACAAACAATTCACACTTAGAAAGGCAGAGATCTATATTAAAATATTCAGCAAATTTACATAAAATGTTAATTACTTTAAGAAGGGATAATATAATATTTAATTTTTATAAAGCAAACTTCAAATAATTAATTATTCTTCCTCTTAATTCACATTTATACCATTTAGTCATTTTATCATCCCTCTAACATGCCATAAAGCTAGCTGTTGACTGCTCAGAAAATTGATATAGCAGTAGCAAAAAGCCAGTATTGATAATATATAGCATTTCTTTTATATATTGCACCCCCACTCTGTGGGTATGTCATCATTTCTACAGATCCATTAGCTGGTATCAGGTAACATCTTTTTTTCTGTAATTGCACCAAAGGAGTCTTTTGTTATGACCTCAAATTTTTGTTTACAGAGAGGCAAGCAATCACAGACTGTTCAGAATCACAGAAAAACTTTGGCACTCCACAAGTCACTCAGAAAACTGCATTTTACCAGCAAAAAGATGGCAGCAGGTACTTTAACTTGACCTCACATATTCACACAAAGAGCCAGCATTTGTGACTCCAATGGAAAAAAACACACTTGGCACAACAGTGTTTAGGTAGAGGAGAATTCTTTGCTACTAGAGTTATGATATCTTGGTTATATCTCATTCTGACACCTTAATTAGAAACTTAGACTCAATGCTTTTATCTTTTCTATTCTGTGATAAATGCAAGCAGAAGTTTAGTCAAGGTTTCTAAACATATTCAGACACTTCAAGATGCAGACGAAACTGTGTTAGGATTTACAAAATCTCATGGAAACTAATTAGGAATTCAATAGCCAGGTGCTTCTGAAATTCTAATTGGGCAGATATTTAAATTTTTAACAGCCCCTTTCAAATAAAAATCTGAGCAGTATAGGCTCTAGAAGAAGAAATAAAGATCTTTATTCAATCTTTTAAATTAAATTTCAAATTTAATATGCCTAGAAAATTTATTTTGTTGTTTATGTCTCTGATTCAGACTACTTTTCTCTATGTAGCAATGCAGTGAGAGTCTCCATATGCATTAATGCAATTCAGTGCTATTTATTTTTCATAGTGGCTTTTATATCATATACTCTAAAGCCATCCATTTTTTGTATGATAGGCTTTATGACAGTGAACAATGAACAGTTGAACAACAGTAAAGAAAATATATTTTATTTTCAAAGTAGATAATTTGTGACATCTTGGGAGAAAAAACTAGTTGTTTTTCACTTTTGTCAACAGTGGGTTGACACTGGCTGCCAGGTGCCCACCAAAGCTGCTCTATCGTCCTCAGCTGGACAGGAAAGAGAAAATGTAACACAAGGCTCATGGGTTGACATCAGAGCAGGGAGGGATCACTCACAGTTTGCTGTCATGGGCAAAACGGGCTTGACTTGCGGAAATTATTTTAGTTTATGAACAATCAATGGGAGAACAATAATGAAAAATAAAACCAAATCTTAAAAACACTTTCCCCCTATCAGTCCCTTGTTTGCAGCCTCAAGTGCAGTCCATAACTCACTACCACCTTCTAGTGCAGCACAGGAGGATGAGCTGTGGTCATTTCCACACCTGTTGCCTCTCTCTCCTTCCTCCTCAGGTGAAGGACTCCTCACACTCGTCTCCTGCTCCAGAGTGGGGTCCCTCCCATGGGAGGCAATCCTCCATGAACTTCTCCAGAGTGTGGCCTTCCCACAAGTTGCAGTTCTTCGTTAACTGCTCCAGTGTGGTCCCTTCCATGGTGTGCAGTCCTTCAGGAACGACCTGCTCCAGTGTGAGTCCCTATGGGGTCACAAATCCTGCCAGCAAACCTGCTCCAGCGTGGGCTCCTCTCTCCTTGGGGCCACAGGTCCTGCCAGGAGCCTGTTCCAGGGCAGGTTTCACACGAGGCCACTGTTGGTCACCCACCTGCCACCCCACACACCTCCATGGACCGCAAGGGCACAGCTGCCTCACCATGCCCTCCCCGTGGGCTGCAAGTGAATCCCTGCTTTGGCACCTGGAGCTCCTTCCCCCCCTGCTTCTTCACTCACCTTGCTGCCTGCAGAGTTGTTCCTCCCACATATTCTCACCCCTCTCTTCACTGGCTGCAATTGCTTCTGTGCTGTAACCTTTTCTCTTGTTTAACCATGTTATCCCAGAGGTTCTCCCATTGTCACTGCTGGGCTTGTCCATGGCCAGTGTGGGGATCAGTCCTGGAGCCAGCTCTGGATCTGTTGGACATGCAGGAAGCTTCTGGCAGCTTCAAACAGAAGACATCCTGGTGGCCTTCCTGATAACCAAACCCAGCCACAAAAAAACACTACAGTAGTATACTATAATTCAAGTATAATAGAAAAGTCTTTTGATGATGTTCCCAGTACAAAGTGAAAAAAAAAAAAAAAAAAAAATATTTAGTAGGAAATTAAAATATGAGAACCATGTAAGATTTGGTTCTACAGGTGCATATAACTATAAAATTAAAAAAATTCACTGATCATTAATTCAAAATTTCCATGTTATAAAAACGTAGTTTAAAAATAGGAAAAATAAATTTGATGTTTAGTGGAAAGGTAGTTTGTCTAGTTGTGGGCAACTGAGGGAAAATTTCCTGGCAATATTAAGATTAGATCTTGTGGATGCATTTTCAACAAAATTACCTCAACTGGATAACAAATTTTTGGCATTCATATAATTGATGAGAAAGTATCTTTCTTGAAGGAGTTTTGGGAGGTAAAGGTTAAATGTTGGTGAATATAAAAGAGATGAATGCCTCAAGATTTAAAATAAAGTCCTTGAAAGCAGTGATGGAGTTTCAAATCCCCTAGTATGGTCAGTGCAGTATGTTCTACATTGATTATCTGATTACAGCACTATTCAATGTCATAGGAGGATTTTCTTTCAGTCTCTTCTTGCAACTTGTTACATTCTATACAAGATATCCATTATTTCTTTGGATCAGATTACCGTAACCTATAGGTTTAAAAGTATCTTGCAGATAAAGATTTTGAACTAAAAAAAATATCACACCCCATTTAGAAATAGATTCTCTTTCAGCTTTGTACTGAGGAATAGAAAGCTGCTGAGTTTGGGGCTTCTTTTTTTTTCCTTTTTACTTTTGATCAGAGCAGTGAGAGATTTTAATAATATTTTGCTTCAATAAAGTTCCTTTTTCAATAAAAAATTTTCAATAAATTCTCTTCGAATAAAATTCTTTTTCTGAAAGCTCACATTTACAGCCCCCAAGTTCCAAGAAAAGTTAACAGTCTCAAAAAACAATGGCTAAGAGAAGGTATTTCACTTATTATTAAACCTGTGTGTTCTGAAGTCTCTGACATTTTGTGTAATGTGAAACTACAACACTACATATGTTTAACTCTTCAAGTTCTCAAGGAAGAGAAATTAATGGTATTTTTATTCCTGAAGAGATTTGTATATCCTTAAATTTAAATGAAAAATCTTCCTGTACAAAACTGTCAAAATGCCACCTGTCAAAATGCCACCTTCCCAGGGATAATTTTGACCACCTAGCTTCTGAGGTTTGCAGATGTCAAATGTTTTGGGGTTTTTTCATTCCAAAATTGCTAAAGAAATCTGCTCCATACTGATGGGCTGCCGAGAAGACTTTAGCAGTGAAATAAAACTTGTTAATTGCAGCTGAAACCTGAAACAGATGTCTCTGTAACAGTATGGATTCTAAATTTAGCTAAGCCCGTCTAGACCTGTATTTAACTTGTATTCACAACCTGCAAAATTATTATTTTTATTATTTTTATTATTATTTCATGTAATTTTGAATGGGATAATGCTCAGTATCTTAAATCAGTCAGCTCCCTCTATTATGCAGAGATTACCTGAGGAATTACTAGTACACAGTGTGGGTATTTGCAGTGCCACAAACTTTACAAAACTGTCTGCAGTAAAGCTGTAACTTTAAAAAACCTTGGCTTTCATCCTTATATCACAACTCTGTATATGTTGCCACAGTGTTTGTGAAGAATTAATCTTTCATCTTCACATATGTAGGATACACACCTTAGTAATATATCTTGGAGTTGAAAGCCTGTATGCTTTCAGTAGAGATCATTCCAGTATGATACATTTAGTCTTGAAAGTATCAGCTCAGAAAAGCAAGATGATTTTTTTTTAGAAAACATGTCTATGTCCTCTGTAAAAGAGGGACAAAGAGCGCATATTCTACTCTTTCTGTAAGGAATATTGCATCCTTAATAAACACCCTCTTCACCCTGACAAGAAAGTTCTTTGGAGATATTTCAATATTTTATTAATATAGAAAAGAAAGTATATTATCTATTCAAAATGAGTTAGCGATATTTAGCAGAAAAACAAATAAATCAAGACAATGAGTATCATGTTTATGACAAGGAGACAAAAGTGTCAAGATTGTTCTACAAAGACCCTGTTTTGTCTCTCTTCGTGCCCACTCTCCTAACTTGAGTGTGGTGAGACAGACTATGGTGTAGATTATGTCTGACCTGACTGGCGTGAAGAAAGCTCTGCTGAAGAAAATGCATTTTTTTAGATTACCATGTAAAACATACCCTTCAACAAGGAAGATTTAAACATCACTCTCTTGGTAATTTCTTAATTATATGGATAAGGTACATTATTTTAAACAACCTATTTATCTATCATCTTTGGGACTATGAACTCTCAAGGTACCATAAGCAGCTAAAGAAAGACTAATCAAATACATTTTTAAGCTCAGTTCATCCTTCTTTATATAATTCAATATAGGGTTTGAACCTTATCACAGAAAATACTGTATATTTGCACAGTATTAACAGTTGAGTTGATTAGTACTCTTTCCAATAAATATTACATGAAAACCAAATCCTAGCAGACATTTAGCCACAGCCTTTTATATTACTAAAATAAGGTAATTAACAAATTTTGGAATTCTTACATAAATACAAATAAGATTTTTTTCTTATTTTTAATTTCCATGTTATCTAACTTATACTGTTATTTCTGAACTATTTCTGCTGCTGTGCACTTGATATTTTATTTACTACACCATACTCTATTGGTTAACATTGCATCCACATTACTCAGAATACCATTTACACAGCGGATAGATTTATTCATCAAGCTTTATAAATGTGTGTGTGTGTTTGTGTGTGTGTGTGTGTGTGTGAGGCATTCACACTTGAGTTAATACAGCAATGAAGTGAGCACTTTAAGGGTGACAGGCACCTTGATTTGTTTTCAATTGACTACTTTAGTATGAGATGAATTATGCTCAAAAAAGTAATAATTTGTCTACTAGGTTTATGCATGCTAAAGATGACTGGCTCAGATATTGAGGATCTCACTGTAAATGTTGACATTTGATAAGATGTATCATCTCCCCCTTATCCACAACTGGATATAAATGAATAATTTCCAACAATCAGGAGGCATACCTGCTGTCTAATTACATATGTTGCATTCAAAGGAAAAAGGCAATAAAATATCTAGAGATAAATAATCCAATTAAATAAATAAAATTGCTGCTAATTATAAACTCTTGTTCAAATATTTTGTCCTGTAAAATAGCACAGTAAAATGATAATTTTACTATGAAATTAATGTAATGCTCAAAGTGTTTATTTCCTTTCAGTAGTGGGAGCTTAGGATTGTATAGGACATATGTGCTTTCCAGCTTCATGTTTAATTATATTCATTCCCACTATAACAAAGCCAGTATACTGAGAAACCCCTCTTGATGCTTGATTATCATCCATTTTTAAGTCGTTGTTAATTAACATTTCAGTAAAATAATCGTATTTTATTTATTAATGAAATCAAACCCTTTCTTATGTGAAAATATCCCATTACCTATCTATTTCACTTTTATGACCAAGACCAATACTTAATATAGGAACGTCCATGTCAACATTAGCAACTAAGAGAACATTTAAGCAGGTGTTTCAAAAACTTAATTTCTGTTTGAATGCCCCCATTAAAATGATTGATGAAATCTTTGATGAAACAATAAACACTTCCATGTAGGTGCCAAACTCAAAGTGACCAAGATGTTATGTTGACAGATGCAGTAGATCATGTTCCAGGCCTTTTTTTTTTTTTTTCTTTTCCCTTTTGACAAGAGCTAGTTAACATTTCAATCACCTAGGAATTAGGAACTTTGAGGACCATTGACCGGCATCAGCACTAACCACTGACCTTGCCAACACAGTAGCTAAATTTCTGAAGCTGCCTACAGAACTTCTCAGTCATCTCTGCAGCAAATGTCAGTCTCCATCTCTTCATTGAAAACAGGCTGTAAAGAAAATGATTCATTGCACTCAACTTCGTATCTGAACTGGGCATTGCAGTAACTAAAATGGTATGTACTTTGCTTACTTAAATGATATAAATTAAACATGAAACCAACAACAACACATTCTTCAGCACTGGACCACAAGTCAAATTTTATTTCATATATACAAGGTTTTTTTAATAGAAGTAAGCTTGGTCAGCCATCTGTAGTCTTTAGGTTTTGTAGTATCATAGGAAACTTTGTCTAAGCCCTGCTGTGGAATGGTATTGTGGGTTTTTTGTGGTCTGATAGTTCTGTTGGTTAGGGAGTGAAATTTTAGCAGAATACTTCTCTCTTAAAATCAGATCTATTTGTAGACTAAAGCCTCAAATAATAAAAAAACATCATGCAACCGTACTGTTTTCTTCTGATCCAGTACACTATAGTTTCAGGTGTTATTCTGAGAATAAATATCAGGATCAGAGGCTCCCTGGGCGAAGCTGTCTCCAAGCTGCCCCTGCAGAGCAGGGTCTCTGCTCTGTGCCCTTGACCATTTCATGATCCAGGGGTGGTCAAGCATGAGCAGGTATGGACAGGGTGGGAAAAGTGGAGGCAGAAGCTTGGCTTGTCAACCACTGCACTCATTGGCACTTTCTGCAGCCCTGTGGAAGCAGGTATGGAAATTGCAGAAATACCCAGGGAAATGACCTACGCTTTAGCTCTGATAATACACTTAGCAAGCCAAGGCTTGTCTCACATGGCAGATTTGTGAATACAAATGGAAACTTAAATCTACCCTGTGGATCAGCTTATAAAAGTAACCTTTGTAATATAGGGAAAAAAAATTCTCTGGTAACAAGACTGTACTTTGACCAAGATTAAATATATAGGTAAATACTGTGGTATTTGCATTGGTTTAATGTGTGGCATTGAATTCCAGTAGAAGGTGAAAAATCTAACTTCTTTTCTTTTTGTAGAAATTACAGCCAAAGAGATTATTACCCCTGAATGAGCAGCACCAAAATGTATTAAATAAGATACAGCCCAAAAAAAAAAAGATGCATTTCTGAAACATGCCTTCCTCCTACATAAGGATAAAATATTGGTATGGATACAGCTGGTATTGCACTTCCTGACACCACAGAGAAAGTTTATACTTCAGGGAATTTTCAAAGACAAAATAGCAAGAACATGTAAATAAAATATAAACTATTTACCTTCATACTGGAATTTTTCCTTGGTAGGTGCTGTCATTTTCTTCAACAAAATGACAGGCCATCAAACAAGGAATTCATGTTTTCCAGAGTTACATTTGTTCTTTCTTTCATGGCTGATATGTAATTTTAAATGGTGGAAACCTTTTTCTTTGTTATTGATCTCAAATAAGGTGTTTATTGGAAGCAGAAATATTAGCAACAAAACGTGCTGGAAGGACCTTGTACCACCAGCCTTCTCTGAGCTTTTCTCATGCTCTGGAAAGAGAACAGTGAAAAAATTAATACAGTTGAAACATCTACGTATTAAAGAATGTAAGAAATCTGACTTCCCTGAGTTCCTGTGATCCTACAATGCTTTTCTGGCAAGTGAGGACCATCAGCCTTTCCTCTAACTGCTAAAAAATTGAAGAAATCCCTCTCTGTTCTTCTCTCTCATCTTTGCTGCCAGCATAGTGACACGAGCTCTTTGCTAGGGTGTGCTTGCCTGGCAGGCAGCAATGTTTGTGTGCTTCTCCCAGGAGGAAATGTTTCTCTGCCTGTGTGCACAACACTCAGGGACTCCCAGGATAGGAAATGACCCATCAGTTTTCAGGACTGACTGGAGGGTCTGCAGGAACAGTAGCAAAAGCTGGCATATCCAAGTAGCCACAGAGGCTGGGGAGGCATCTGAGATTTTAGGCAGACAGTTTTCTCTCCACTTAATTCACACTTAGACAATTATGCTCACAAATGGAAGGAGAAAAACTGTTTTTAAATAAAAACCTGACCTTTGCAGACCTGATGACATTTGCCAAAGGGAACTTGCCTTTTTCTTAACATGCCTTTTTCTTAGCATTTTTCAAGCCTTGATTACAGTGTATTTTATATAGTCCAAAGTTTGTGGGAGAGAGAGAGAAAAAGGAAAGAAAGGGAGGAAGCAAAGATGTTTTTAAATATATACACAAATTTGAACACAAATGCTGCATCTATAGCTGGATTTAGAAATTAAAATTGGAGAGGGTCTCTGAAGTCATTAAGACAAATCCCCCCTGTCACACACATTTTACTTTATATTAGCACAGTGGCATCTTGCTTACAAATAAGCAGTAGCACGTTCACATGCAGCAACTCTGTTGATCAGAGCTGTATATTATACATTCTTCTCATCACATATCTATTGACTCATGCAGATGCACTGTGCCTATTATTTCCCTCCTACATTCAGTGGGATGAAGGAAAAATGAGTTATGTAGAGCTCCCAGTAATTAAGTTTTCTTAAACTAGTGAGCTAGTACATCAAAAGTTAAAATGACCATAAACTATATTGTGCTCCACTCCAAACTATTTTCTTTACATTTCTACTGCAAAGCAAAGATGTTGTTAAATTAAAAAATGTTTGTTTGAATAAATTTAAGTAGGTGCATACATTATGTTATTGCTCATTTTCAGAACTTTCATGTCTAACTCCGTTGCTCTTTAATTTTTGTTGTTAGGGTGTGGTTTTTTTTGCTAAGTTTCCAGCTTTTGGTGTTGCATTTACAAAGAGAGGCCACTAGAGTGCTGCAAGCATCCATTGAAGCTGCAGTTGTGTACATTTACAACCAGTATTTCAGTTTCAGACATACTTTTAATATATATTTATCATAAATACTTTTTTTAAAAAGTAGATTTTGGTGCTAAGTAAATACTTTTAAAACTTTAAAATGTCTAGCTCAGATCTGATGTATGTGTATGTGTATGGAAAAGACACATATGACTGCTTACCATGTATTTTACAGTTCCATAACAGTTTAGAGGATTGACAGTTACATTATGTACACCACTGTGATTTAAAGGGTTACCAAATAACCACTGTTAAGTACCCATTTTCTTGTTTAGCTGTCCATAGCAGTATTGATGCAACTATAATATGAGTGCCACAGGTTTGTTGTCAGTCCCTGAACTGAGACTAACAGAAGATACAGACAAAACTTGTTTCTGAAATCATCACAAAAATCTCAGTCCTTACTCAAAGTTTTGGCCAGATCTGTCAAACAGAACAAGTCCAAGAAGGAGTCACAATTTTCTGTGCCAAAAAGGATACCTTTTCCTTCCCTGGGATAAGCCCTGAATCCAGTAAAAGAAGACCCACTCATCCCTGACGTGACATAGAGTCACAAAGTCATAGATTCATAGAATCATAGAATAATGGAACTGTAGAATATTGTGTGTTGAAAGGGACTTCAAAGATTTTCTAGCTCCAGTCCCCATGCCATGGGCAGGGACACCTTCCACCAGACTGGGTTGCTCAAAGTCCCATCCAACCTGGCCTGGAACACTTCCAGCAATGGGGCATACACAATTTCTCTGGGCAAGTTGTTCCAGTTCCTCACCACCTCCCTGTCTGCCTATTCTAAACCTAGTCTCTTTCAATTTAAGGCCATTCCCCCTTGTTCTATTACTACAGACCGTTTTAAAGAATCCCTTTCAGGTTTTTTAAAGGTCCTCTTCAGGTACTGGAAGGAGCTACAAGGTGGAACCTTCTCTTCTGCCAGCTGAACAAGGTCTCTTAGCCTGAGGTGCTCCAGGCCTTGCATCACCTTTGTGGCCTCCTCTGGACTGACTCCAATGGGCACACACTCTTTATACCGAGGGCCCCCGAGCTGGATGCAGCACTGCAGGTGAGGTCTCACCACAGCAGAGCAGAGCAGAGGGGCAGAGTGCCTTCTCTGGCCTGCTGGCAACGCTGCTTTGGGTGCAACCCAGGAGACAACGGAGACAGCTCTGGGCTGGGAGTGCTGGGCCCAGCCTCTCGTTAATCAACACCCCCAAATCATCTCAGCAGGGCTACTCTCCATCTGCTCTCCATCCAGTCTGCGTTGTATGTGGAGTTGCTCTGAGCCACATGAACCCTTCACTGGCCTCTTGAAAATCATGAGGTTTTCATGGGCTCTCAGTACCTTGCTTGTCCTTTCCTGCCTGTGATTAGTCCCTTTACAGCAGCAGCTGTAGGATTAGTAGCCTGACTGGGAGAGATGATAGGAGCCCCTCTGCTATAGCCTATTAAGTGTTGAGGAGAAGCCAAGGGCCATCTCATGTTTCTGTGGTTTTAAGGCTGACCTTGGCCCTGTCTAGTACAGCAGAAGCTGTCTTGGTCAGAGTCCTTCATAACCAGAAGTCAGAGAAAGTAACTGAAATAAAAAAAATTAAAAAAGCAGGCAAAATCTCCTTGAGCTACTATACTCCTGCGTGTCTAGTCTAACTTATTTTAAAAGACATATAAAAATGTCACTTTAAAGCTAGCCAAAGACAAGGCCAAAGTATAATGATACACACAGGTTAAGAAGGGAAAGATTAAAGGTGGGAAGTCTTATCAGAAGGAAACTGATACTGGGGTGAAGATGGAAACTGAGCAATTCCAGCCTGCTCTGAGGAGTATATCAGGACACAGCACAGAAAAGGGGAAGACTGCTGGGACAAATGGATTAAGAAATGAAGTAACAGTTAAAGAATTAGAAAAGTGGGCATTGCAAAGTGCTGTTACAAGTGAAAGCTTAAAAAATCCTTGCAAGACCCTGAAAGACGAGGACGACCGAGGTCACTGTAACTATGACGACCAGCAAAATGGACAGAGGAAAAGAACAGGCAAAGAAAACTGAAACCAGGATGATTTGACACACACACATGCTCTTTCTGATCACTCAGGGGAAAAGGAGAGTTGAATGAAGAAAAAAAACCACTTTAATGGTAAGCAGAGACGGGCAGGATTTGGTTGGTATTAAATTCCTTTCCATTTCACACCTTCCATCCTAAATTGGCAGTATCAAACTCTGTTAAAGTTAATGAAGGATGTGTTTTTAAAGTGTTCAATATTTTATACCCCTTTTAAATGTCACTGTGTTTCAGGAATTTCTAATATCACTGTTTTTTTATCAACCCCTTTTCCCCCCCTTTTTATATTTATCTTACATGGTAAACTCAAAGACCAAGTACACAAACGTCTGGAAATCCCCAAATATCAGCTATTGCAAACACACGGATTAATAATGAGTTGCATAATCACCAATGTGGAATTAATCCATGTAAACCTATGAGAACAGTTTGGCTCAGGAGGTATAACCAGTATGTCAAATTTTTCTTTTATGCAAGTGCATGCTAGCTCATTGACATATGTCATACCATTGATTTGTCCTTTCAAGAAATTTGTATTTTAAGTGATTTCATATTTTAATGCAGAATATAATAATCATTGATTGAGGTGAATAAGGGAAAGTGAAATAAATAGAAATGTTCTTTGACCTAAGAAAGGACCAGAGGGAATCTATGACCCTGATGTGGCATAGAGAGAAAACTTTTTACAGCTGCATGAACACCTGTGCAATCAAAGACATATTATCTGGGCAAAACATCCATGTTTTATGGAAGGGCTGGAACTCCAAAGATCCCATCACCCTTGTTGATACACTGGCTCATGCTCTGTTGTGGCACACTGTAATGTCTGATGTCAAGTGTTCCTGGCTTAGGTTGTCTAGAAAAACCTCTTAGCAGAAGACACTGTCAGGCTACCAAAAAGTAGTTCTTATGAAGCAAGGTAGGCACTCATCCACAGTAGAATTTTTAACCTGTGAAAAGCCTATGTGGCTGCCCATAGGTGCTTGATGTAGCAGTTTCATAGGAGTTTCTTCTGGGAGCTGGCAAAATTTGATCCTCAGTAAATCATGAAAAAATATTTTAGTATTGGAAGACTTCCTGAAACCACAATACACAGCTTTACTTAGCTGCAGCTTTAAGTGCCAATCTGATTGCTTGCAAGACAACCAATGTTCAGATAAATCAATCAAACTTTTCCAGTCCTTGCACTGAACCTCTGCTCAGAGGAAAGTGGTATGTTTGCCTTATTGTGTTGTGTCTGCTGCTAGAAGTGGGGTTAACTTTGAGCTCTACCTTTGTTTTTATAGGTAATGCAGAGTCCAGAATGTGAAGGAGTAGTGATATGAAAAACTAGGACTAGGCAAGTAGATGTCTTTTCACAGGTTATTTATTATACACTTGAAATCATTGCGCCAATGCAATAGTTATTTAAAACTTCAGGAGATTTTTACTTCAATGGCAAAGAGTGAAAAGATTTTGTCTGCATGCATTTAAGACTCTATGTATATCCCTTTGAATAACATAAGCAATGTACCTGCTGCATTTGGAAAAATACAAGAAGGGGTAGTCTGTTCAGAATAAAGGAAAAGTTATTTTTTTCCTTTTAATCTAGACTAGTTGAAAGTCCAAGCACTCTGTAGACTCCTTTCTTAATACCCCAAGTGGCTTAAATTGTCTGACATTTTAGAGACACCTGAGTTTCACTTCAGGTGCACCTGGAGAGCGAAAAGGAAGAACCAAGGATGATGGAAAGTGTGTTGAGAATTTCATGGTGATTTGCAAGCAAGTCTGCAGACAACACTTTAGGGCCAAAGCTGTATTTGGTAGCCCTTGTATTAAGTTAGCATCTATATGTGGATAATTCTCAAAATTGGTTCTATTCTAAACATCTCCCTGCATGCCAAAATTTTATCTGATGTATTTCTTAGCAATGCTCAGAGATGAGCAGAGATAAAACAGATTTTTCTCTTTACCCTTACTCATGTCTGTTACCTTCTTTTCTGTTCTCAGTAGAGCTCCTGGGACTGTAATAGAGGGATCATTATTAAAAAGAAAATCTCCTTAGATATCCTGTTGTATATTGCACTGAACAATTCTGGAAGATTCAGTCACTAAGCAAAAACTTTAGATACTTCAAGTCTCTCTGATTTCCCAAAAGCCCAGTACCTTTCATATCTATTCAGAACAGTGATGCAAAGACTATTGTTAGTCTTCATTTTGATCATATCACCTCTTACAGTGTATTGCTTCACTCATCCTTTCTGTTTTATAATGTAAAACATAATAGGTTTTTTTTTTCATTTTCAGGGTCTTCCATGATCTCTCCTCTCCTATCTATCATTTCACATTCACCATGAAGATGTCAGCCCTGTCCCTGAGTCTTTCACCCATCTCATTTTTCAAACAATTTTTTTTTTCAAAATATCTTCCTTCCTTCTTCCCCAGTGTTTAAAATGAACATGACAATACCTACAATAAATCTTTCCTGCTTTCTTTTAAAAGCCTCTTAAACTTCTCTTTTTGGAATAGTAAATGAAGGAATTTCACTATATATATTTCAGTATACATTACTACTATGTAAAGTTCTAAAGCTTCTTAGTTGCCTCAATCTTTAGATCTCTTTCTCTGTACACTATTTCTCACTTTCAAATTTATAATTTCTATCTGTGGGACAAAAATTATCTCCATTCAGTGTTTTCACTGGGCTTAGAACGATGCAGTCCTGGGAGCAAAGCTGAACTGTGACTAGAAAAACAAAACAAAAAACCAAACCCAAAACCAATGGTAGGAAGAGTATCTTTGAAGAAAGAGTTGCTTATGTTTCCTAAGGGGAAAAAAAAAAAAAAAAAAAGAAAAAAAAGAAGAGTCAATTTCTGAGACCCAAAATGCACAATAAATTATGAAGTTACAGTTGTTTACACTCAAAGTAGGAAATGTATCCTCATGTTTTCAATTACTTTACTTCAGCTTCTATGGGTGTACACACATGCTGAATAGCTGTTCCAGAATGCCCAGTAATTCCTTCAGCAAAAAGCCTTCAAAAGACTTATATTTTTTTTAAGTTTGTATTACTAGATTTTAGAGTTGTGTGGTCAAGAAATCACACCAGAGGTCAAACAGTTCATTGCTACAATAACATTGGTTTTAACGCTGTTTTTAGAAGGTCTTGGGAAATCAAGGCCCCCATAGCACAGTAATTAAATCTCTCTTTGTGACACAGTAATCACAGAGAGACCTGTTGGTTCTGCTGACTGCAGAGTATGGGAAAGGCTTCAGGTCTCAGCAGTATTTTCTGGATCATAATGCATTACTTTTCTGAAAAGTAGAAGTAAAATTCAGTATATTTTCTTGCACAGACACCCATGCAAATCACAAAATTTGATTTTGTAAGATGATAAATACATGAATATGCCATAAAATCACTGATTAGGAAATACTGAACAAAAACTAAGGACCAGTGATAAAGGAAACATTAAATGGGAAGTCATCTCTAAGAATTCAGTAACCACTGAACATCTACAAGCACTAATGTGTGATGTCAAACGGTAATATTTATAAAAGTCATTTTGTTAAAAAAGGATAAAAACAAAATTATATATTTCTAATACAGTACAAAAAAAGAGAAGTAAAATCACGTGGTTTTATAAACAAAGGAAGAATTTCTTTCTGAATGTACAAATTATTTTACAATTACTCTATTGTTGCAGCCAAAACTAAGAACATGATTCATTATTATATTCTGCAACATTTTCTTAATTAGGATTTCATTTTAGTTCCATGCCATTAAAAACAGAGGCAGCTTTTACAGAAGAGATGTTTGATCCTGTAAACACTTTCTTTATGCATAGGCTCACTGAATTCCAGCAAAATGTTCATGATCAGTCTAAAATAGAATTTTTTAATCTGTAGACAAGCATAATAATAATACAAAAAGCTTAATTCAAAGATAGATAAGCCACAAATGTTTGTGTTTTTTGTGAAAACAGTAATTAACACAGAAATACAGTTGAAATAATTGTTGCAATTTAACCTAATTTTAGCAGCTTATGATCTTAAAACTTTGTTAAAATCCCTTTTGCTAGTGCCTCATAATGTTTTACCATTCCATTTTCCTGTGAAGATTTGAATAAAACAATGGGGGAATTTATTTAAACAGTCATAATATTGAATTCCACTAAAATATGGGGTTTCATACATTAGTGTAACTCAGTCAATGAAATGTTAGCTGCCTCAGCCATGGATTTCTCTAGGATTTACAGTGATGGGACATGAAGAGAGTTTCTTTACTGAATGACACTTAGTCCAGGTCCTCCTTATGTTCATCCTGTCTGTCAGCGCCTGTCCGGCCTGCAGTGAAGGAGTGACTTCATCAGGGCGCGTAAACAAACTTCTTCTGGTCTCAGTTTAGGGACCTTGAGTCCTGCTGTGTGCCTGGCCCTGACAGCACATGGGCAAGTCCCACCAGAGAGCTGCATCTCGAGGCAGTGGCTCCTAGAGCCCTGTCACGTGCCAGATCTGATGCAGGACACACACGTGCCGCTCTCTCCATCTGCCGCACGCTTCTGGGCTGCACCTTCACAGGCACCAAAGAGAAATGTGTGTGGTTGCTGGCCACACTGCTAAACAACACTGAGACTGCTGCAGCTGGTGGGAGCGCAGTCCTAATAATGCCAAGGTTGTGGGTTTGGTCCTTGTATGGGCTGCTCACTTAGAGCTGGATTCAATGATCCTTATGAGTGCCTTCCAACTCAGAGTACTCTGTGCTGATAAGAAGCTGTGCTGAGCCTTGGAAAGGCATTCCCACTTTTTACAGTGTAGACAGACCTAATTATTCTATTATTTCATGCTATTGCATCAGTATAATGGAGGAAAGAACTCAGACTCCAAGTCACTAAATAGAATGAACACGGCTTTTTGTTCAAAAAAATAGGGCAGTGGAGCTTGAGTAAATATGACTGATTCTTAATTACAATTCATACTGATGATAACAGCTACAAAAAGCTACAAATTTGCTTACAGTTATGAACACCAGTTATAAACACGAGTTTGGGCAAGCCTTCCTGGAAAAGAGAAGAGCCAAGACTT